CAGCCAGGTCCCAGCACTAGAGATTAAATAAACTTCCGCTTTCTCGGTTCTTTGAGAAAGATACATCAGGGGCTACAGCATTCATAATAATAATAGATAGTGGTGACTGCAGCAGTTGCCTGTAACTATAATAAAATCTGTGGAATTGTACATTTTTTTTTTTTTTTTGAGGCAGTATCTCATTCTGTCACCCAGGCTGAAGTGCAGCGGCATAATCATGGCTCACTGCAGCCTCAACCTGCTGAGCTCAGGCGATTCTCCCACCTCAGCCTCCCAAGCAGATGGAACTATATGCAGGTGCCACCATGCCCAGCTAATTTTTTTCTTTTTTGTAAAGATGGGGTTTCACTATGAAACCTCGGCTGGTGGTCTTTTTATTTAACAAATAATTGTGCAGTGTTACAGAGACTCCCAGTGGTCCAGGGTCAAAGGTGGAGTGAGAGAGAGATGGAGACGGCAGCACGGTCTGCAGAAGGGGCAGGGACACACTGGGATTCGGTTGTGCTCTGCTATGTACAGCTCTCACGTGTCTGTGGGTAAGTCTCTTCACTTTCTTTAGCTTCTTCATCTGGAAAATGGGGATGCTATCACTGCCTTCACAGGAATTATTAGGATTAAACAAAACAACACATAACAAAGTATGCCTGGTCCATAGTGGGTGCTGCACAGTTATCACATCCCTTGCCTAATTAGTAACAAATCTGCCAGTGGGCTGCAGCCAGAAGCACACCATGAATTAAGCCTAGAGAGCTCGGAATTTTACTTAAGCATGACTCTGTGCAGTCCCTGGGTTAAACCAGGCTGTTATGTGCTAATAGGAAGTGACATCAGAAAGGAAACCATACAGCCCAAGGGCCAGGAAACGTTAGGGTGGGTCCTAACTCTGCCACTGACTGGCCTATGGCCCGGGCCAGTCTTGCTCCCTTCTATAGCACATGCATGTCCCACCCACCCTCCAGTCCTCTCCCTAATCTCTCCAGCCTCTGCTCAAGTGTAACCCCTCCCCTCCCTGTCCCTCCAGCCTTTCTCTATCCCTTTCCCTTGCCTTATTTTCTTCCTAGCTTTTAACAGTATATAAAATTAACCCACTAATTTGTGACTTTCACTTCTCTAGATTTCCTCATGCGACCAACAAAGAGGGGACTGGGCCAAACGCTGTCCATTCTCTCCTAGCTCTATAAGTCAATGACCTGGACTGGTCTAGCTAATCCTTGACAATTTCTGGTGACAGTATATGCCACAAGAGGGGATTTCAACTATACATTTCCCAAAATTTCTGATTTTATCTAAAAAGAATGCAGACACTTCCCTTTTCCTTTTAGTGCTGTTTTCAGGGGGTTCTAGTCTTACTGGTCCCCAAAGTGATCCCGAGATGCAAACTTAAAGCTAAAGTCCAATGGGAGAATGAGACAGATCACCTCTGCCAACAGTGGGAGTGATTTGGGAGGTGTGCAGAATGTTTCCTAGATCATTAAGGGTTCGAAGGACTTCTTACCTCCATACACAACTGATAGAGAACTAGGCAAGCCGTGTGGTTAAAGAGTCGATGCCTTTTCCAGTTGAATTCTACGATACCATCTTTGTGGTCATGAGTTACTATATTAAGGAGAGACAAACAGAAAGGCTGTGTCTCAGAGAAGCCACATGATATGACAGATAGGAAAAGGTTTATCTGTGTCTCAGAGAAGCCACATGATATGACAGATAGGAAAAGGTGGTGAAAGTCAAAGGAATATCAAATAAGGAAGAATTTCCGGATAATAAAGGGAACTTTAAGAGGATTGTAATGGGCCAGGGAGGATGACAACAAGACTAAAATAAATTACATCTTTATTAGTGCTATTAACGCTCACAGTCCCCTTCCTTAACCTTGGGCCCATAGGTCCCAGGCCATAACCCCCACTCCAGGCCCTACCTTTAATTCTGTGGAAGATTTCTGGTACAAAAGCCTGAATGGCTTTGAACCGCTCCACCACAAAGCCCAATGTGGGGAACTGGCAGCTGCCGTAACTGATGAGCTGCTCTGCCAGCACCTCAGGAAAAATCTTCTGAAGCCGCAGGGTCTGGAACCTAGTAAAGGCAGCTCCTGGAGAGTGAAGGAAGGTGAAAATGGTGGCTAATAAGAGTCCAGGGCTGGCTGCACATATCTACACAGAGCCCATTTTTGGTCCCATAACACAACATTAATGTGGCCATGGGGGGGTCTGCCTAGCTCCTCACCAATCCTCAGGTCCAGCTCCTGCCTCACATCCACAGCATCGCTCACCCTCTGATCAGGCTCAGTCAGGTTTTCACAAGCTGTCCTGACGGCACGGAGTGTGATCTCAGAGAATCGGGCTCGCAACACCTGCAGATTGGGCTTTACTGCAGAACACAAGGCGTTACCAAGGTCAAAGTCAAACCACACTGCCCTCCATCATAAAGGACTCACTTTTCTTAAAGCCCCTTGAAATAAAGGCAAATCAGTTCAAGAAGCTGTGAGGTGACCAATTTACCTATTAGGTTAAATCAATGGTGTACAGTGTCTAAAGAGGAAACACCACCATAACCTTTAAACTGAGTATACTCTCAAAAATAGTGATGGAGCTAATCTTAGCTAGTAACTGTGGGGAAAAGAAAGAGAGACAGATTGTTACTTTGTCTATGTAGAAAAAGGAAAATATAAAGAAACTCCATTTTGATCTGTACTAAGAAAAATTGTTGTGCTTTGAGATGCTGTTAATCTGTGACTCTTGTCCCAACCCTGTGCTCACAAAAACATGTGCTGTATTGGCTCAAGGTTTAAGGGATTTAGGGCTGTGCAGGACGTGCTTTGTCAAAAATGTGTTTGTAGGCAGTACACTTTGTGAAAGACATCACCATTCTCCATTCTCTATTAACCAGAGACACAATGCACTATGGAAGGCCGCAGGGACTCCTGCCCAAGAAAGCCTGGGTATTGTCCAGGTTTCCCCCCACTGAGACAGCCTGAGATATGGCCTTGTGGGAAGGGAAAGACCTTACAGCCCCCCAGCCTGACACTCATAAAGGGTCAGTGTTGAGGAGGATTAGTGAAAGAGTAAAGTCTCTATGTGGTTGCGGTAAGAGGAAGGCATCTGTCTCCTGCACGTCTCTGGGAATGGAATGACTCGGTGTAAAACCGACCATATATTATATTCTGAGATAGGAGAAAACCACTGTATGGCTGGAGGCGAGACATCATGGTGGCAATACTGCTCTGTTACTCTTTACTTCGCTGAGATGTTTATGTAAAGTTAAACATAAATCTAGCCTATGTACACATCCAGGCACAGCACCCTTCCTTAAACTTATTTATGACACAGAGTCTTTTGTTCACATGTTTTCCTGCTGACCCTCTCCCCACCATCACCCTACAATCATACCGCATTCCCCTCGCCGAGATAGTAAAGATAATGATCAATAAATACTGAGGGAACTCAGAGACCAGCGCCAGTGTAGGTCCTCACTTACTGAGCACCAGTCCCCTGGGCCCACTTTTCTTCCTATATACTTTCTCTCTGTGTGTGTTATTTCTTTTCTCAGTCTCTCGTCTCCACCTTGCGAGAAATACCCATGCCCCTTCCGTAACTAAAATACTAAAATGCTCTTGGTGAGCATTGTTTTTTTTTTTTTTTGGAGACAGTCTCACTCTGTCACCCAGGCTGGAGTGCGGTGGTACAATCTCGGCTCACTGCAACCTCTGCCTCCTGGGTTCAAGCAATTCTCCTGCCTCAGCCTCTTGAGTAGCTGGGACTACAGGCACATGCCACCACATCTGGCTAATTTTTGTAATTTTAGTAGGGACAGGGTTTCACCACGTTGACTAGGCTGGTCTCGAACACCTGACCTCAGGAGATCCACCTGCCTCAGTCTTCCAAAGTGCTGGGATTACAGGCATGAGCCACCGTGCCTGGCTGCCTTTTGAGACTGTAATCTTACTTGCTCTCTCAGGCCTTTTGGGAAAAGAAAAATACTATCAATTAAAGGGTTCTGTGGGGGAATTTCATGCCCCTTCAGGAAAGAATATAGGACATACACACACTGTCCTTTAAAGTTAATGCACTTAAATTTCCAGGAGTCATTACAGCGCTGAACACAAAACCACTAAACGAAAATAGCAACCCCACCCCCTGAGCTAGAGAATGGCCGGCCCGTTCATCACTTCCTCTAAGTTACCCAAAACCATTAACACGGCGAGAGCCTTTAAATCCACTGCAACAATTATTTATTAATAGTCGAGCACTGTATAATAGGAGAGATTAAAAAGGAAAACAGAACATTTTGTAATTATTCTTTGTACTTTACTTGTGATATATTCACTCTTTTACACATATTCAATATGTAATTTTATTTTTCTATTTTTGTTTTCATTAACCAAATACTAAAATAATTCAATATATAACAACAACAACAAAAAAAAGAATATAAAGTCCCTGTTCTCAAGGAGCTGGGTATCTGCTTGTATGCTTGTACCTAACAAGGAATGAGTCCTGGTCTAAATGGTTTACATCACGCATTAACTCATCTAATCTCTGTGGCAGTCCCAGGAAACATGTTGGATTGGCCTGATATTACAGACAAGGAAGTCGAGGCTCCCAATGGCTCAGTGATTTGCTCCAGGACACATGGCTGGTGGGACTCACAGACCGACAGGGAAAGTATCTGCAGAGGAACTCATCCATGGCTCACTTGCACATACAAATGAGAACACTCTATTTATGGAATCCCAAAGTAGAGAAAGTCAGCAGCAGCAGCACTTACCAGTCTTACACACATGGATAATCTCAAACCCAATGTTTTCGCCTTCTCTATCACAGTCAGTCCAGATCACCAGAGCCTGGCACTGGCGAGTCTCTCGTTCCAGAGTTTTCTGAAGTTCACAGTGGAATAAGAGTGGTGAGAACAGAATTGCAGAACAGTGACTTGACACCTCTATGCTAAGGGGATCTGACTGAAGGTTAATAATATTCTTGGAGTGTGACAACTTGGCGAAGGAAAGAGACCAGAGAAAACTGCTCTCATTGGTCCTAATGATCATACAACCCCTTAGAACCACAAATGAGTTTCTAGAATAGAGGGTTTAATATAACTTCCCCAATATGACGAAACCTAAAATTCAGCTCTAACACACACACACTTCAAGTGGTTCTGATTATGACCTGGTTAAAAAAAACAAACCCCGGCTGGGCACGGTGGCTCACGCCTGTAATCCCAGCACTTTGGGAGGCTGAGGTGGGTGGATCATGAGGTCAGGAGATTGAGACCATCCTGGTTAACATGGTGAAACCCCGTCTCTACTAAACATACAAAAAATTAGCTGGGCATGGTGGCAGGCACCTGTAGTCCCAGCTACTCAGGAGGCTGAGGCAGGAGAATGGCCTGAACCCCGGAGGCGGAGCTTGCAGTGAGTCGAGATTACGCCACTGCAGTCCAGCCTGGGCGACACAGCAAGACTCCGTCTCAAAACAAAACAAAACAAAACGAATCCCAAATGAATTTCATCCAAAGGTTTATTAGTTCCCAATAAATTAACTGGCCAGGCTCGGTGGCTCACGCCTGTAATCCCAGCACTTTAGGAGGCTGAGGCGGGTGGATCACCCGAGGTCAGGAGTTCGAGACCAGTCTGGTCAACATCGTGAAACCCCATCTCTACTAAAAATACAAAAATTAGCTGGGTGTGGTGGCAGGCACCTGCAATCTCAGCTACTCCTGAGGCTGGGGCAAAAGAATCACTTGAACCTGGAGGCGGAGGTTGCAGTGAGCTGAGATTGCGCCATCACACTCCAGCCTGGGGGACAAGAGCGAGACTTCAACTCAAAATAAATAAATAAATAAATAAAAATTTTAAATAAATGAACTACGCATGCCCTGACTGCTTGACAACTCGCAGTTTACTGTCAAACGGGCATTTATACTTTGTAGCCTCTTCCATTTAACAAGGGGTGAGATGGGGGCTAGCACTAATAGTTTACAATACTTAGGATTATTTTTTGAGAGAGGGTCTCACTTTCTCACCAGACTGGAGTGTGGTGGTGTGATTACAGCTCATTGCAGCCTCAACCTCTTGCCTCCTGGGCTCAAGTAATCCTCCTTCCTCCGCCTTACTATTAGCTGGGTCTATAGGCGTACATCACCATGCCTGGTCAATTTTCTTTTTTATTTGGAGAGATAGAGTCTCACTATGTTGCCCAGGCTGGTCTCAAATTCCTGGGGTTCATGTGATCCTGCCTTGGCCCCACAAATTGCTGGGATTACAGTCATAAACCACCATGTCCAGCTCTTATTCCTAGGATTTAAACAACTAGTATTCATAAAAAAATGTTTACTTCAGTTTCTTGGCCACTTGGCCACATTTATACAATGAGTGGGAACCAGCTTTTTAAATCATGGTAGTGAGTTTGGTGGAAAACCTTATCTCCAAATGCCAATGCATTAAAAATAAAGATATAACTCTGTTTGACTCTTTGGTTGTTCAGTGCCATATGTCTTCCAAAAGACCCTACCTTGATGTCTACAAAATTCTCTGGGCAGTACTTTTCAATTTCTGCTTCAAAGAGGACAAGAGGGTTGCAGCTCTGCCTAGAAAAGACATGAAAACAGAGTCCCAACTCAGTACATGACAGAGAGCCCTCCAATCTAATGACAGCAAACTGTTCCAATGGGTTCATGGTGTATCCCCAAAAGAAAAGGTCCCGGTGAACTGAAAGCAAGGCTATGATCCTCTGCATGACACACTGTCCACTTCTCCACGAGTGTGAACAGGACGGATAAGATGGCATTCTGGAGCCCTTTTACAGGTAAATGCAATCCAATGGCTGCATGAAAAAGGCCTGGCAATTTTGAGGGAACACCAAAAGTGACTGTTTAAAGATTTAATAAAAATTCACAATGGATCAGATAATCCTAGGTCATCTTAGTATTATAAATTACTGCTGGGTGCGGTGGCTCATACCTGCAACCCCAGCATGCTGGGAGGCCAAGGCAGGTAGATCACGAGGTCAGGAGATCAAGACCAGCCTGGCTAACAGGGTGAAACCCTGTCTCTAACAAAAATACAAAAAATTAGCTGGCATGGTGGCGGGCGCCTGTAGTCCCAGCTACTCGGGAGGCTGAGGCAGGAGAATTGCTTGAACCCAGGAGACAGAGGTTGCAATGAGTCGAGATTGCACCACTGCATTCCAGCCTGGGTGACAGAACAAGATTCCGTCTCAAAAAATAACTAAAATAAATAAATAAACAAATAAATAAATAAATTACCGAGACACAGTGGCTCACGCCTGTAATCCTAGCACTTTGGGAGGCAAAAGAAGGCAAACCCCGCCTTGTTTGAGACCAGCCTGGTCAACATGGTGAAACTCTGTCTCTACCAAAAATACAAAATTTAGCCAGGTGTGGTGGTGCGTGCCTGTAGTCCCAGCTACTCGGGAGGGTGAGGCAGGAGAATCACTCGAACCTGGGAGGCAGAGGTTGCCATGAGCCAAGATCATGCCACTGTGCCCCAGCTTGGAAGACAGAGCCTCACTCTGAGACTTTGACTCAAAAAAAAAAAAAAAAAAAAATTACCCAGTAAGATCAACATGCCTCAAAAGTTCTCTGAAATTTCACAACTTACTATAATCTGAAAGTTCTTCTTTTGAGAATTGTACTGACCATTTTCGAAACTGCATCCGGAAATCATGAGCCAGTAAATGTCCAGAAACCGAAGTCATTACCATGGTAACATTCTGAATGATGACAAAATTCAAAATTCAGTTAGTCTTTTTACAGTTATTATTTTGCCAAGTCATTCAAATGAGAGGGAGGAGCTTCTATTAAAGACATTTAAAAAAACCTGATTGGGAAGAAATAAACATAAACACAAGGTCTTCAAAGTCAAAAGCCATAGGAATACAATCACCATTCCAATTCTAGTACCACGACGCCTCTTGCATTAGTTCAATTTTCCTCAAACTATTGTATATTAGCTTTTTTTTCTTTTTTGTAACGATGAGCTGAGATGGGACCATATTTTATTAAAGAGACTTCCTCATAAATTATAAAGTGATCACCTGTAACCAGGAACGTTTACGTTGTTAACAGCTGTTATTCTTAAGACAGTGACATATTCTACATATGACTAGGCTGACTACTTTCTCTTGCTTATGATGAAAATATTTTAGCACCTACCTGGCCATACAGGTGATAATCAAATTCATAGATCTTGTTGAATTTTGAAAGTCCTTCTCTCTATAAAACAAAAATACGTAAAAAATATAAATTATGTTCAAAATAACAGATTCCTCTGTATAATTCTTCCTGATCCTGAATTTGGCAATGATTCCTTGGTTATGACACCAAAAATACAACAAACATTGCTCCAAAGAAGATAAGAAATGGCCAACAAGCATATGAAAAGATGCTCAATATTATTAATCATTAGGAAAATACAAATCAAAACCATGATGAGATACCACTCCACACCCATTAGGATGATAATGAAATAGAATTAAAAAACAAACAAGTAAAATAACAAGTGTTGTTGAGGATGGGGAGAAATTGGACATTGCCAGTGGAAATGTAAAATGCTTTGGCCACTCTGGAAAATTTTGGTGTTTCCTCAAAAAGTTAAACATAGAGTTATCACATGTCACAGCAATTCCACTCTTAGAAATTTACCCAAAAGAATTAAAAACACATTCAAATACACTTTGGGAGGCTGAGGCAGGTGGATCACTTGAGGTGAGGAGTTCGAGACCAGCCTGGCCAACATGGTGAAACCCCGTCTCCACTGAAAATACGACGATTGGCCAGGTGTGGTAGTGTGCGCCTGTAATCCCAGTTTCTTGGGAGGCTGAGGCAGAACAATCACTTGAGCCCAGGAGGTGGACGTTGCAGTGAGTGGAGATGGGGCCACTGCACTCTAGCCTGGGTGACAGAGCGAAACTCTGTCTCAAAAACAAAACAAAACACAAACAAAAAAACACATTTAAAAAAAAACCTGTACATGAATGTCTATAGAAGTTCTATTCACAATAGTCAAAAGATGAAAACAACCCAAATGTCCATCAACTGATGAATGGTAAAATGAAATGTGATCTATCCATATGATAGAATACTATTTAGCCATAAAAAGGAATGAAGAGGCCAGGCGCAATGGCTCACGCCTGTAATTCCAGCACTTTGGGAGGCCAAGGTGGGTGGATTACAAGGTCAGGAGTTCGAGACCAGCCTGGCCAACATAGTGAAACCCTGTCTCTACTAAAAATACAAAAAATTAGCCGGGCGTGGTGGCAGGTGCCTGTAATCCCAGCTACCGGGGAGGCTGAGGCAGGAGAATCACTTGAACCTGGGAGGTGGAGGTTACAATGAGCTGAGATCGCACCACTGCACTCTAGCCTGGGCGACAGTGAGAGAAACTCCATCTCAAAAACCAAAAAAAAAAAGGAATGAAGAACTAATATTAATACATGGTACAACATGGATGGACTTCAAGAAGATTATGTTAAGTGAAAGAAACCTGACACAAAAGAGCATGTAAGATATGGGTCCACTTATAGGAAATGCCCAGAACAGGCAAATCCATGGGGAGAGAAAGGAGATTTGTGGTTGTGAAGGGCTGAGGAGAGGGTAAGGGGAGTGACAGCTTAATGGATATGAGGTTTCCTCTTGGGGTGATAAAAAACCGTCTGAAACTAGACAATGATGATGGTGGCACATTTAGTGTACAAAATTCCACTGAACTGTATACTTCAAAATGATTAAAATGGTCAATTTTCTGTGTATTTTGCCACTCAACCTACATGGTTCTCTAAGACCCTTATGATATGCACTCAACTGCTGCTCTTGCTTAACTCACTGGTGTCTCCTTGCACCATACGACATCCCTAACTTCTCACTGTTTCTGAAAATGCCAAGCTATTTCAAGCCACTAGGTTGTTCTTCACAGTTTCTACTGCCTGGTAAAACTTTCACACTCAGTTCAAACATGCTTTCAACAAGTACTAACTTTTCTTTTTCTTTTTTTTTTTTTAAGAAGGGAGTCTCACTCTGTCGCCCAGGCTGGAGTGCAGTGGCGCGATCTCGGCTCACTGCAAGCTCCGCCTCCCGCGTTCACGCCATTCTCCTGCCTCAGCCTCCCAAGTAGCTGGGACTATAGGCGCCTGCCAGCACACCCGGCTAATTTTTTCTATTTTTAGTAGAGACAGGGTTTCACCGTGTTAGCCAGGATGGTCTCATGGTCTCAATCTCCTGACCTCGTGATTCGCCTGCCTCGGCCTCCCAAAGTGCTGGAATCTAGGTATGAGCTACCACGCCCGGCCTAATTTTTTTTTTTGAGACGGAGTCTCATTCTGTCACCCAGGCTGTAGTGCAATGGTGCAATCTAGGCTCATTGCAACCTCCACTTCCCAGGTTCAAGTGATTCTCCTGCCTCAGCCTTCTGAGTAGCTGGGATTACAGGACCCCGCCACCGCACCTGGCTAATTTTTATATGTCTAGTAGAGAGGGGTTTCGCCATGTTGGCCAGGCTGATCTTGAACTCATGACCTCAGGTGATCCGCCTGCTTGAGCCTCCCAAACTGCTGGCATTACAGGCATGAGCTATTGCGCCCAGCCCAAGTATTAATATTTATTGAAAGTTTCCTGCATTCCAGACACCATAACAGGCGTTAGGACATAGCAATTAAAATATAATCACTGCCCTTTGGAGCGTAGAGTCCAAGGAGAGGCAGTGACAAAAATCAAATAAATGACTGCACATCCCATTATTTAACTGTAACTAGTAGATGCCTTTCAAGTAGAATAGAGTGCTATGACAGCATGTCAGTAAGGGTCTCTGACCTAGTGTGGGGGAAGAGGTGGTGAGGGAAGGATTCCTTGAAGATGAGACATTTCAGCAGCCTCTCTCCTCTAGCTGCCCAAGATGCCAAAAGGAAAGCAGGCCAAGGAGAAGAAAGTGGCCCTGGCCCCCGCTGTCATGGAGCAGCAGTAGGCCAATAAGGTGGTAAATCTCATTTGAGAAAAAGCCCTAAGAATGTTGGCATTGGATATCTAGCCGAAGGGCCTCACCCACTTTGTCAAATAGTCCTGCTATATCTGGCTGCAGCGGCAGAGCCGCTGTCCTCTATAAGCGGCTGATGTGCCACCTGGGATTGACCAGTTCACCCAGGCCTCAGACTACCAAACTTAAGCTACTCAATTGCTTAAGCTTGCCCACAGTACAGACAAGAGACACAGCACGGGAAGAGATTGAAACTGTTGGCCCAGGCTGAGAAGAAAGCTGCCAGCAAAGGGGATGTCCCTACTAAGAGACCACCTACACTTCAAGTAGGGGTTGACACCGCCAACAACTTGGTAGAGAACATGAAGGGTCAGTTGGTGGTGGATCCCATTGAGCTGGCTGTCTTCCTGCCTGCGCTGTGTCCTAAGATGAGGATTCTCTACCGCACTGTCAAGACTGGGGTGTCAAGTTCCACAGGAAGACCTGTACCACTGTCACCTTCACACAAGTTAACTTTCTGGAAGACAAAGGAGCTCTGGCTAAGCTGGTGGAAGCTGGCAGGACAAATTACAATCACATATGAGATCTGCTGTCACAAGGGAGGCAATGCCCTGGGTCCAAAATCTGTAGCTTGCATTAACAACCTAGAAAAGGCAAAGGCTAAAGAATTTGCCACTAAACTGGGTTAAGTACACACTGTTGCTCTTTCTTACATAAAAATAATAGAATTTCTCCTCCCAAGAAAAGTCTTTCCTTTTGGCTGGAATTGCCATCTTGGAGTAATTTGCCAAAATGATGAACAGGGGACGAGGCATCTGATATATGCTCTCCTGGCCTTATAGAAAACATGGAGTTTGGGCTGGGCGCAGTGGCTCACACCTGTAACCCCAGCACTCTGGGAGGCTAAGCAGGTGGATGGCCTGAGGTCAGGGGTTTGAGAACAGCCTGGCCAACACAGTGAAACCCCGTCTCTACTAAAAATACAAAAAATTAGCTGGGCATGGTGGCGGGCGCCTGTAATCCCAGTTACTAGGGAGGCTGAGGCAGGAGAATCGCTTGAACCCGGGAGGCAGAGGTTGCAGTGAGCTGAGATCACACCACTGCACTCCAGGCTGGGCAACAAGGGCAAAACTCCATCTCAAAACAAACAAACAAAACAAAAACACGGAGTTCCTCTGGCCACAGACACCAGAATCTACAATGAAGGTGATCTTGAGGACTGAATAAGAATGGATATTGTTCAAAAACCAATGACCCACAAATGTTACATGGCAGAACTGGAAAAGTCTATGTTACCTAGCATGCTGTTGGCACTTCTGCGAACAAGGGCTAGATTCTTGCCAAAAGAATTAATGTTTCTGTTGAGCATATTAACCACTCTAAGAGCCAAGTTCCTTCCTGAAATGTGTGAAAGAAAATGATCAAAGAAGCAAGTCAAAGAGAAAGGGTTCAACTGAAGTGCCAGCCCGTTCCATTGAGGGAAGTATACCTTGTGAGAACCAATGGAAAGGAGCCTGGGCTGCTGGAACCTATTCCCTATGGATTCATGGCATGGTAGGTTAAAAATAGATAAATACAAGACCTCTGAATTGCTTAGAAAAAAGAAAGAGAGAGAGAGAGAAAATGAATTCAGCAGAGCCTTGAAGGATAAGAAGTTAGTTAGGTGTAGGAGGACCATTTTTCAAGAGGCCCAGAGCCCTAGAAGTAGACAAACCTTGGGGCTGGTCACCAGGACTTCTAGCACTGGAAACAGGTCAGCCAACATTCACACAACCCTGGCTCCACTCCCACTATCCTTTAACTGGAAACGCGTCTTAGGACCCCGGGCACTAAAGAAAAACGAGCAGGGAACTTCCATCCACGCTCTTAGAAAAGTTCTCCAGAAAACCATTTCAGGATCTACTTTTGTTATCTGAGATATTTTCCTGGACGGCTTTTTATGTCTCCCGTGGCACCTCCTTTATGAAACTTTTTCTTATCCTCCTTTGGTTTGTGCCTCCCGTGTGTGTGTAGAACACATTCTTACCACTTACCTCTCTCAGAATCAGTTCATCATCTCTAATCCCCAAACCTTACCGTGTTGCTGTCACGGTGTACTTTGAGGCTGGAAAGTCACAAGGGCTGTAGAACGCAGTGGATGTGGCACAGGATGGGGAGGGCTAGGTTGGCTGGGGAGCGATCGGGCAGGGCTTGAACGCCAAGTTAAGGGAATCTGGTCAGTAGTCCCCAAATGAATTTCTGAATCTCGAGGGAAGAACAGTAAAATACAGACTTCCCCAATCTCACACAAGACCCAAAGGGCAGCCAGTGCCCGAGGCGGTTCCGAGAATCAGACAAGTTTGGGAACCTGCTCAGGACAAGGAAAACAAAAGGTTTCCAAGCAAACGAGTGAAATATCTCAACTACGTTTTAAAATGCACTCCAGTCGGATAGCAGACAGGAGGCCACCGCAATAATCCAGACGAGGGGCGGTGAGGCCTGAGAAATGGGAGATAATCGCCTTCATCTCGATTGGCGGCGCCCACCACGCTGTCCGGCTCGGCGGGCCTCCATTAAGGCACGCAGCTGATCGGAACGCGCTTTCTTACCCGCCTCATGCGACCGTTGGACAGCAGGTCGGCGATCCCCTTGGCCGCGTCGTTTTTTTCGGCCACACAGAGGACCTTCCGCACGCCTCGGAGGGCCACCTCCATGGCGGGGCGGGAAAAGGCACGGTCTCCGGGCTGTCGCAGCCACCGGAGCGCGGAGCGGAGGACAGGAAAGATCATCCTTAGGCCCCGCGCCTGCAGCCGCTCCCCGGCTGCCGGCGCATCCTGGGGAAGCCAGAGGCGATGCTCAACTGGCGCCCACCGAAAAGGAACTAGAGCCTCGCTTCGGTCACGTCCCCACCAGCCTGCTGGCCTTTGGAGCTTCAGTCACTCAGTCTTTTCCGTGTCGCAGCCGCCGCCTCAGCACCGAACCCAGTACCTTGGCGTGCAGCTTCCGCCCGCCTTCTCCAGCCACTTCCGCCAGGCGCGCGCCCCACAGCGACCTGGAACTACAACTCCCAGACTGGCCCGCGCCCCTCGTCCAAGCACGTTTCCCCCTACCACCGCCCCCCCGACTCACTCCGCCCCACTTTCCCCTCCTTCCCAGCAGTGGTTGGTTAATCACACTCCTTCTTGGGGGAAGCCGCCGGACACTCCCATCCAAGGCCTTCTCTTTCTCATGACTTTTTTTCCTCCTGCTCGGAAGTCTACGAGGACGCTTCCGGGTCACGCGGCGCCGACACTAGGAATCATGTGACACCAAGATGGCGGCGCCGCGGTAGCTGAATCCGGGTTGTGGCGTCCTAGGAGCCGCGACGGTTTCTACCCTCGGGCAGTGAGGGGCGGCAGCGCTTGGCTGACCCCTGCGGCGTCCCGTAGCCTCGCGTTAAGCCTTGTTCACAGCGAGGGCTGTTGCTTGTCGCGGTGGGTTTCAGGGAGTGCAGGTGACCTCACTGCAGGTTTCTTGTGCTGGCCGCGCTCGCCGGAGGAAGAAGAGAAGGGCATTTGGGCCTGCGGCCTTGGCGTTCATGAGGCCTCCGAGAGCTCCGGAGGAGCTACAACTCCGAGGGGGCGGCTAGAGTTCGAGTCCTCGGGTGTGTGAGAAGCAGCCTAGGACCCCGGGTTCGGGGAGTCGCAAAGAAGGCGGTAAGGGCTTCGCTTCCTTCTCCGGAGGCCTGCCTTCTGCGCGTCGATTAACCCCGCATTCTTTCCCACTTCCTCTCAATGTTTTCTTCATACATCTGGAAATATGATCAGCGCCCCTGACGTAGTGGCCTTCACTAAAGAGGAAGAATATGAGGAAGAGCCTTACAATGAGCCGGCCCTCCCTGAGGAGTACTCGGTGCCGCTCTTCCCCTTCGCCAACCAGGGTGCTAACCCCTGGTCAAAACTGTCTGGGGCCAAGTTTTCGAGGGACTTCATTCTTATTTCCGAGTTCTCTGAGCAGGTGGGACCCCAACCGTTACTGACCATCCCCAATGACACCAAAGTTTTTGGCACTTTTGATCTCAATTACTTCTCCCTGCGTATCATGTCGGTGGATTATCAGGCTTCCTTCGTGGGCCATCCTCCTGGATCTGCCTACCCCAAGCTGAACTTCGTGGAGGACTCCAAGGTGGTGCTGGGAGATTCCAAGGAGGGAGCCTTTGCATACGTGCACCACCTTACCCTATACGACCTGGAGGCCCGTGGCTTCGTGAGGCCGTTTTGCATGGCTTATATCTCTGCAGACCAGCATAAAATCATGCAGCAGTTCCAGGAGCTTTCAGCCGAATTTTCCAGAGCTTCTGAGTGCTTGAAAACTGGCAACAGGAAAGCATTTGCTGGGGAACTTGAAAAAAAGCTGAAAGACTTGGATTACACCAGGACAGTGCTGCACACGGAAACGGAGATCCAGAAGAAAGCCAACGACAAAGGCTTTTACTCATCTCAGGCAATTGAGAAAGCCAATGAACTGGCCAGTGTGGAGAAGTCCATCATTGAACATCAAGACCTGCTGAAGCAGATCCGCTCATACCCTCATCGGAAGTTGAAGGGGTGTGATTTGTGTCCTGGTGAGATGGAGCACATCCAGGATCAGGCCAGCCAGGCATCCACTACCTCTAACCCTGATGAGTCTGCCGACACAGACCTTTACACCTGCAGACCAGCCTACACCCCAAAACTTATCAAAGCAAAGTCCACCAAGTGTTTTGACAAGAAGTTGAAGACCTTAGAGGAGCTCTGTGACACTGAATATTTCACCCAGACCCTGACTCAGCTCAGCCACATTGAACACATGTTCAGAGGAGACCTGTGTTACCTCCTGACCAGTCAGATTGATAGAGCACTTCTAAAACAACAGCACATAACAAACTTTCTCTTTGAAGACTTTGTGGAGGTCGATGACAGGATGGTGGAGAAGCAAGAACGCATACCCTCTAAGCCCAGTCAAGACAGGCCGCCTTCCAGGTCTCTAGAAGAATGTCCAATTCCTAAAGTATTAATTAGTGTTGGTTCTTACAAGTCCAGTGTGGAGTCTGTGCTGATCAAGATGGAGCAGGAACTGGGAGATGAGGAGTACAAGGAAGTGGAGGTGACGGAGTTGAGCAGTTTTGACCCCCAGGAAAACTTGGACTACCTGGATATGGATATGAAAGGGAGTATCAGCAGTGGTGAAAGCATTGAAGTTTTGGGCACGGAGAAATCCACGTCTGTGCTTTCTAAGTCTGACAGCCAGGCCAGCCTCACGGTACCATTGAGCCCCCAGGTAGTCCGGAGCAAAGCAGTCAGCCACAGGACCATCAGCGAGGACAGTATTGAAGTCCTCAGTACCTGCCCCTCTGAGGCCCTCATCCCTGATGACTTTAAGGCCAGCTACCCAAGTGCCATTAATGAAGAAGAATCATATCCAGATGGCAATGAGGGAGCCATCCACTTCCAGGCAAGCATTAGTCCTCCGGAGCTGGGTGAGACGGAGGAGGGCAGCATGGAAAACACCCCATCACAAATAGACTCCTGCTGTATTGGGAAGGAGAGCGACGGTCAGCTGGTGCTGCCCTCCAGTCCAGCCCACACACACTCTGACGAGGATGGAGTGGTGAGCAGCCCCCCACAGCGCCACAGGCAGAAGGACCAGGGGTTCCGTGTAGACTTTTCAATGGAAAATGCCAGCCCTTCTTCCCGAGACGACAGTTGTGAAGGGTTTCCCGCTTATGAGCTGGACCCAAGCCACCTGCTGGCTAGCCGGGACATCAGTAAGACCAGCCTGGATAACTACTCAGACACCACCAGCTATGTGAGCAGTGTAGCTTCCACCAGCTCGGACAGGATCCCTTCTGCTTATCCTGCTGTCCTGTCTTCCGATAGGCATAAAAAGAGGGCTGGCCAGAACGCCTTAAAATTCATCCGCCAGTACCCCTTTGCCCACCCAGCCATCTACTCCCTGCTCAGCGGGAGGACACTTGTGGTCCTGGGGGAAGATGAGGCCATAGTCAGGAAGCTTGTGACTGCACTGGCTATCTTTGTCCCCAGCTATGGCTGCTACGCTAAGCCCGTGAAACACTGGGCCTCCTCCCCTTTGCACATTATGGATTTTCAGAAGTGGAAGCTTATTGGCTTGCAGAGGTAACTGGTTCCAGGTGCTGGGGAAGGGCCTTGGCCAGATAGGGATGAGGCATATTGGTGTGGTGGAGCCAGAATCAGGAAGCCTGGCTTCTAGACAGGGCCCAGTTCCTACCACTGTGTTACTTTTAACAAATCATCCCCCTCTCTGGTTTCCATTTCCTTGTCTGTCATGTGAGGGGGTTGCAGTTTCTAGGTGGTTGCCAATCCCCATCTGTCCCCGAGCTGTGTCAGAATTATTAGAGAAAGTTTTTTTTTTTTTTTTTTTTTTTGAGACGGAGTCTCGCTCTGTCGCCCAGGCTGGAGTGCAGTGGCCGGATCTCAGCTCACTGCAAGCTCCACCTCCTGGGTTCACGCCGTTCTCCTGCCTCAGCCTCCCGAGTAGCTGGGACTACAGGCGCCCGCCACCTCGCCCGGCTAGTTTATTTGTATTTTTTAGTAGAGACGGGGTTTCACCGTGTTAGCCAGGATGGTCTTGATCTTGTGACCTCGTGATCCGCCCGTCTCGGCCTCCCAAAGTGCTGGGATTACAGGCTTGAGCCCCCGCGCCCGGCCTAGAGAAAGTTTTTATTTTTATTTTATTTTTATTTTATTTTGCGACAAAGTCTCGCCATTGTCCCCCAGGCTGGAGTGTAATGGCACCATCTTGACTCACTGCAACCTCCACCTCCTGAGTTCAAGCAATTCTCCTGCCTCAGGCTCCCAAGTAGCTGGGATTGCAGGTGCCTGCCACCACCCCGGCTAACTTTTCTATTTTTAGTAGAGATGGGGTTTTACCATGTTGGCCAGGCTGGTCTGGAACTCCTAACCTCAGGTGATCTGCCCGCCTCGGCTTCCCAAAGTGCTGGGATTACAGGCGTGAGCCACCACGCCCAGCCGGGAAAGTTTTAAAAATCATGGATTCCTGAATCACACCCCTCGAGGTTCTGATTCGGTTGGTGTGAGGTAAGACATGGAATTTATCTGTGGCCCTCACCAGCCAGACTGCAGGGAGCATCCCTCTATAAAAGCAAAAGGCTCATCAGAAGGGACAGACGACTCCATGGGAAAGGGTTAGGCCGCTGTCCCTATAAGTGCTCCTTCAACCTTCAGAGCGTGCGCAGATGTTGGGTGCTGGGAGCATCTGCCTCCAGCGTCCTGCACAGGCGTGAGGTGTGGCGGGCAGGGGTGGGGAGCCCTGTACCCTGGATGGTCCCCTGCGGAGCCGAATGGGATGGACTACAGCTCACCCACAGAATTCCTGGGGGAGGTGTGAGAAGACACCGCCTGAGGGTATCATAAGGTGAAACTGCTGTGGGCCGTGGCAGTTAGCGGGAGCAGTTGGTGGTCTGGGTCAGGTCCTGGTGTGCCACCACTCGCTGTCTGGATTCGGACCAGCCATCTTATTCATTCAGTCACCCGATCGTGTTGAACACCTCTGAAGGGCTCCCGGGGCCCACCTGAGAGCCATCGGAAGGCTCCACGTTTAGTGCATGTCCAAAAAGCACAGCACAGTGCAGTGCCGGGCCCTGAGAAGTGCTCAGAGGGTGGAACTGGCACCGACACAGGCAGGCAGACTGGGGCCCACCTGAGGCCCAGCTTTAAAAATCGTGAGCAGGAGAGTGTCTTCAGTGGCTGTGACCTTCCTGTCCTCAGAGGTGTTGCACTGCAGAGGCTCTGCACTCTGAGCACCATGGTCCAGAAGTGTCTCTCCTCACTCAGGCCCACTGCTCACATGATAGACTCTCTCTCAGGACTCTCACCTCAGAACCCAGTCTTGCTTGGCCTTGGTTTTTTTCACTCTGCCTGGAAGTGCTTGTAGTTGGGTCAGCCATCTGTGGGGATAAGAGATGACTAAACCACCAAGCTGGTCTCCTGTCATTTGCGGGTTTTTTTGTTTTGTGTTTTTTTTTTTTTTTTTGAGACAGAGTCTTGCTCTGTTGCCCAGGCTGGAGTGCAGTGATGTGATCTCGGCCCACTGCAGCCTCTGCCTCCTAGGCTCAGGTTATTCTCGTGCCTCAGCCTCTCCAGTAACTGGGACTATAGGCGTGCGCCACCTTGCCAGGCTAATTTTTGTATTTTTTGTAGAGACAGCATTTCACCATGTTGGCCAGGCTGGTCTCAAATGATCGGCCCATCTCAGCCTCCCGAAGTGCTGGGATTACAGGCGTGAACCTGGCCCTGCTCTCATTTTAAGTGAACACCAGGAGTCACTGTATTGCTCACTAAGCAGCAGTCACAAGCCTGGACCAAAAAGCAGAGCACAGTTCTGGCGGGAGAAAGTGCTAGCCTAGTGTGTGTCAGAGACCCTGGGTTGAGTCCTGGCTTGACCGCTAGCTAGCCTGGTGACCTTGCACAAGCTGCCACCTCACCCAGTCCTCTGTGTGTTCATTGGTCATAGAGGTGTCCTCCCACAGCGGGCATGGGAAGTGCAATGTGAAGTTGCAGTTGGGGTGCCGTGCGCCTGGGGGCTGGAGGCCTGAGGCTTCTCCCTTCCAGTGTCGTCTGGCTTCCTGAGGAGGAGCTTTATGGAAACAGAAGTGGAGGAACAGTTAGAATAGCCAGCTTCTTCCAAAAGAAGTGTCACTGTTGGGGCAAGTGTCAGAGCTGCATCAGGGGATGCTGGGCCTGGGAGCAGGTATCCTGGCAGAGATGGAGGGGCAAAAAGGTGGGAGGTGAGGCCTGGGTGCCCTGTGGCGGCAGCACCTGTGGATCTGGATGTGCAGAGCTTGGGAGGTGTTTGACTCTGGCTGGCCCCGCTTTGGGAGGTGAGAGTGAAGGCAATAGAGAGCTGAGAAGGCCCCACAACCGGAACACAGGGGCCATGCAGTATGGGTTGAGGAGAGCGTCTCACTGCCCTTGTGAGCTTTCTTAGCTGTCAGCCACCTGCAGGCCCCAACTCCTCCATGCCCGTGGGATGCATGCGGTCCATAGCCCAGCGCTGTCCCTCTGGTCAGGATGCATGCAGAATGCATGTGTCTCAGCTGTCCCATCTCTGTGACCTTGCTTTTGCCTTGGTCTGCCACACCCTCCTCCGTCCCTAGAGCCCTCTGTGCTTCTGAGGGCCAGTTCTAAGGCACCTCTACAAATCCCCCAGGTCTTCCCAACTACAACCTTTCTCAAGGAGAATGAGACCTCATCTCCCTTCACTTTGCTGTACTTGTGCACATTTCTTCCCAGTCAGACTGAGCTCATGCAGGACAAGAGTTCTAGGTCATTCTTCATTACAGGGTTAGCTCTCAGGGCAATGCCGGGATGTTACAGATGCTCTGTAAATGATTGTTAAATATACAAGAAGATAAAACCCAGGAAGGGAAAAGTACTATGAGATTACCTTGGTCCCAAGTCACTGTCAGTCCTTTTTACACCATACCTGTCTGACATAAACCCTAAATGTCCAGGCCCTACAGGGCAGTCCCTGCTGCTCTGAGGAAGCTGCTCCAGGAGGATGTTTAAGGAACCGCTCCCCTCACTGAGTGAATACTGGCTTTCCTGGCTCTGATGTGCCAGGCATTGGGGCATGAGACCAGATCAGATGCAGTTCTGGGACTCTAGAATCTTGGAGCTCCTTGTTCAGTGGGGAGAAGCCAGTGAACAAACAGCAGTCACCCCACTGGTCAGTGCTAGGCTAAAAGTAGTGATGGTGATGACAGCGCCTACTGAGGACAGCATTGTCCTAAACATCACTCATTTTGTCTCCACAGCGACCCCATGAGGGATGTAATAGTAGTAACTGGCCCGTACAGTGGCTCATGCCTATAATCCTAAATCTTCGAGAGGCTAAGGCAGAAGGATCACTTGAGCCCAGCAGTTCAATACCAGCCTGGGAAACATAGCAAGCTTTCTTCTCTGCAAAAAATTACCTGAGTGTGGTGGCATACGCCTGTAGTACCAACTGCTTGGGAGGCCAAGGTGGGAGGATTGCTTGAGCCCCGGAGGTGAAGGCTGCAGTGAGTCACGATTGTGCCACTGCATGCCAGCCTGGGCAACAGAGCAAGATCCTGTCTGTAAATAAAGACAGTAGGAACTGTTATCTCCATCTTATAGATGAGGCTCCGAGAGGTTAATGAATTTGGCCAAGGTCACAGCAAGAAAGCAGGAGAGGCTTGGGGAAGGCTGAATATGGGTACAAGAGGGAGAGAGGTTATTTCAGGCAGAACAAAGAGGTTTTGTTTGTTCGTTTGTTTGTTTGTTTTGTTTTTGAGACAGAGTCTCACTCTGTCGCCCAGACTGGAGTGCAGTGGCACGATCTCGGCTCAGTGCAAGCTCCACCTTCCAGGTTTACGCCATTCTCCAGCCTCAGCCTCCCAAGTAGCTGGGATTGCAGGCGCCCGCCACCACGCCCGGCTAATTTTTTGTATTTTTAGTAGAGACAGGGTTTCACCACGTGAGCCAGGATGGTCTCAATCTCCTGACCTCGTGATCTACCCGCCTCGGCCTCCCAAGGTGCTGGGATTACAGGCGTGAGCCACCCGGCCTGAACAAAGAGGTTTCTAATTTTGAGGCCCCACTGAAAGCTTGTCAGGGCTCCAAAAAAGAGTCCATTCAGCAGGAATTAGACGAGAAAGGGCTTTGTGGGCCACCCACTGCGTTTGACCTTGACCATAAGAGTGGTGAGGAGCCCTTTGAAGATCACGATGATTAGATTTGTCTTCCAGGAAGAGCCAGTGCATCCTGGCTAGGTGGATGCTGGCCTGGGGACAGGAGGCCTCACCTCCCAAGCTTCTGCCTCCACTTTTCCGGCCCTTGCCCTTCCTCCTGACCTTGGCCTGTCTGTTTCAGAGTGGCCTCCCCTGCCGGTGCCGGTACCCTTCATGCCCTGAGTCGCTACAGCCGCTACATGAGCATCCTGGACCTTGACAACAAAACCCTGCGCTGCCCCCTTTACAGAGGCACCCTAGTGCCCCGCCTGGCAGACCACCGCACACAGATCAAGCGGGGCAGCACCTACTACCTGCATGTCCAGAGCATGCTCACTCAGCTCTGCTCCAAGGCCTTCCTCTACACCTTCTGCCACCACCTGCACCTGCCTACACACGACAAGGAGACAGAGGAGCTGCTAGCCAGCCGCCAGGCGAGCTTCCTAAAGCTGACCCTGGGTCTGGTGAATGAGGATGTCAGGGTGGTCCAGTACCTGGCTGAGCTGCTGAAGCTGCACTACATGCAGGAATCTCCAGGGACCAGCCACCCCATGCTCAGGTTTGACTATGTCCCCAGCTTTTTGTATAAAATCTGAGGTCGGTCCCAGCCACTGTGACCAAGACCTGTGACTCAGGGTATGGGGAGGGGAGGGGTTGGCATGACCAAACAGTTGCCTGAACTGGACTGTTTAGGTTTCTGGTGTCTGGCAGCATGGTTCCCACGTGGCTCCTGGTAGTTTTCAAGTTGGACGTGGGCAGAAGTGGAGCCTGGGTCCCTCTAAAGGCGTCTGGAGGGATGGTGACAGCTACATTCGGCTCCCTGGTGAAGAGAGGCCCCTGGATGTAGAGGGGGCCTTGGTTTTCTGAGGACTGGCAGCCAGGGCAGAAGGGAAGCCACCAGTCCCTTGGTGGGGTAGGGTGAGGGCAGGAAGGCCAAAACCTGATGGGAGGAGCACACTGACCATATTCAGCATTGCCGGACACTTGAGTGGCAAAATGAGCGAGGGCGGCAGCTCGGTAACTGTTGTGGTTTGATGGAAAACAGGAGGGCAGAACACCCATCACCTCCTTCAGACCCAGATGCAGACCTTTATTTGCCTCCTGGAGCCTGCTGTCCCAGGGGAGGCCCTGGACCAGCCAGTGGGAGGGAGAAAGGCTGCCACCCTTTGGGTTGTGGGAAACATGCAGCCTTGGCCTCAGGGCCACAGAGCGTGAGCAGCACCCTGTCCCCTGTCCTCACCACCTTTACCTGGGAGAGAAATGCCTGTGAGTGGGCCTTGGGACTCACCCCCTACGCTCTTTCGCCAGGAACGAGCAGAGTGTTCCCTAGTCCCCGTGTGAAGCGGGCACAAGTGACCAAAGCCAATGGTGAGAACCACCTGGGGGCTGGAGAGCACAGCAGGCAGAGCAGGGCTGAGGTGCCATGAGGCCATCCCCGCCACGCAAGGGAGGAGCAGTCAACAGCCCTCCTGGGTGGCCCACTGGCTCCTGCTGGCCAGAGTGCGTGAGCACTGACTGTCCTCGTGGGGAAGGTCTGCAGACCCGTGTGAACATGGCAGAGGCCACATTGCAGCTCCCACCCACACAAACCTTTGCAACCACTTCACTACCTCTCACTGGGTCTCGTGGGCACTGGACGGCACGGTTCTGTTTAGTCAGCTGGTGCAGGTGGTCAGCCCAGCCGATGAGAACTCAAATGGCTGGATTTCCTGGATGAGCTACCACGTGACGCTCTTCAGGTTCTGCCTTTGGGAGGCTGTGTGCACCTCAGTCACCACAGCTCGTGGCCATCCCCAGTTGAGTCTCCCTTCTGAGGACAAGTTTGAGACTGGGAAGGAGACACCCCTGGTTCAGCACCTGTCCCACTGACAGTGATCCCCTGGCCTCCCCGAGCCTCCTTAGGCAATGGCCACTGGTTTGTAGACAAAGGGTTTCTTGCAGCCTTGAAAATTTTATTCCCTAAGTGGGGACAGCTCTGGGTATTACTGCTTCTTTGATTTGTTCCACAAAAATTGTGCTGAAATGGACCTGAATCAGCCCTGGGTGTGCATCTGTTGGCGCCTACTGCTGAGGCCCGGCCTGCCCATCGGCCTGTAGTACGCACTCGAGGTCATCACGGAGCCAGCCAGCTTCTCTTCTCATCAAGGAGGCAGAGACCCCGGTGGAAGCCGAGAGTGACCAAAGAGGGCTTGCATCACATCACTCCAGTGGTTCCCTCCTTGTCCAAGTCCTCATTGTAAGGGCATGGCCCGTTGGCTCCAGCCGTTGGCTTCTGTTCAGGGTCCTTGCTCCCATCAGAGGTGTTTGATTTTGCTCCTGGGGCTGTGATGGAGAACCTTTTGTGGCAGATGGCGCTGCCTACATCTCACTGGTTCTCTGTACCTGTGCCCGTTGCACATGTTCACAGACAGGAGAGTCGCCAGCAATACCTTGGCAGCCTTTAAATGTGAAACGTCTGTTACTTGCGCCGGAGGCAGAGGCTGTGCAGGGAGCCTGCTTCTCATCATGGGCTCCCTTATCTGTACGGCTCCCCCTCCTCCTGTTCTAGATGCTGATTTGTTTTCTCACTGGCTGGCTAATTGCTGTCTACTTACACCTCCATGGCCATAACTGTGCAACATTTTATCTGAGAAGGCAGGAAGGTCAGAAAGTGATCATTGGCCCCACCACTGTGGCATTCCTGTCCCTAACACAGAAATTCACAGCTCATACTCTTGCCTGGGAAACTTGGGAAAGGCTCATGAGTTTGGGGCAGATCCTGAATTGCAGCCACACTTGGCCTTCTAGAAGCTGAAGCTGTGCACTCAAGTGGTCCTAAGTAGAAGTCCACTGGGGGTATTTGCTGGCACACTCTTTCAAGGGTGGTTCGGAAGGTCCTGAGACCTAAGGCAAAAGGCTGCTGGGGCATGAACAGAACAGACTGTCTCAGGGGCAGCCATAGAAGTGGCAAGCAGGGCCAGTCTCCCTCAAGGTTGTTCTTCATTAAGTAAAGATGGCTTCGTGACTAGTGTTTGAGCTCCCAGATTTATATTTGGGTTAAAAACTAACTTTTCAATGTGGCAGTTTCAAAGGATTACTTGATGCAAAGTATGTTTCCTTTCAAAGGGATCTTGAAGTGGTACCAGGACTGAGTCATAACTTGGGCAGAAGCAGTTAACACTGGGAAGCCCTGCCCCTCCCTATGCCCCCTTCACTCTGGGGGACTGAAACCTACTATGCAGTGGGACTAATCTCATCAAGAATTTTCAGTTGAGGCCTGTCGTGGTGGCTCATGCCTGTAATCCCAATACTTTTGGGAGGCCGAGGCGGGCGGATCACCTGAGGTTAGGAGTTCGAGACCAGCCTGGCTAACGTGGTGAAACCCTGTCTCTACTAAAAATACAAAAAAAGTTAGCTAGGTCTGGTAGTGAGTGCCTGTAATCCCAGTTACTTGGGAGGCTGAGGCAGGAGAATCACTTGAACCTGGGAGGCAGAGGTTGCAGTGAGCCGAGGCTGCGCCACTGTACTCCAGCCTGGGCAACAAGAGCGAAAACTCCGTCTCAAAAAAAAAAAAAAGAATTTTCATTTGAGGTATTCTTCCAGTAGAAGGTTAATCAGTTTTTAATGAAACCATTAAAAATAACACTTCCCAGAAAATAGATGACATCAGTGCCCCTTGCTACTTCCTCAGTCCTCACTGTTGCTTTGAGGGCCCAGGTACTGAAACTGGTTGTCTTGAGTTTTGTGTCAAGCTTTTCCTCCTGTCCATTATTCCCCTCCCTCGTTTCTGAAGCAGTCTAGGTTAAACTAGCTACGCAGGTAGTTGTGGACTGGTCATTTTCAAAAGCCCCACTTTAGAGATCAGGCCACAGCTTTTTATATCGCACAGGACACATCAGCCTGAGCTGCTGCCTCACGCCTGTTTCCCCAGGAACCTCACTCCTTTGGTGGAACCTTGGGATTTTAGAAATTGTGGCTTTTCCATACCTCATTTACTCCAACAGTTGAAGTTACACACATTACTCCCGAATTTGGAAATAGACCGCAGTACTTTACCTTTCATTCCCCATCTGGCCTTTACCTTCTTTGCTTCAGTGGTGGAAAACAGTTGCCATATTCAAAGTATAGTAGATTTCAACCTCACACAAACGACAAGTCCCATTTCACAATCCTAGGAAGGCCCACCAATTTCATTTCACACACCAGGGCGGCTGCAGTTGGAGGCCGAGGGCAGCCCTCTGCTCACTGAATGTCTTGCATGCGCTGACTGCTGCCCGCGTGCTGAACATGCCCCGCCGCCCAGGCCCAGCACTGCATGTTGGGTCAGCGTCTAGTGCTGCTGTCACGTCTTTGTCTGCACAGCCAGTAGCATTGTCTCAGCCAGGGGGTTTATCAGAAGGTGTGCAAGGCCTTTGGGGAAACTGAGCCCCTATAGTGGGCAGTCTCCTTTATGTTCCCACCTCCCCGAAAAGCACAGAAGACAGTGCCTTGGTTTGTGCTTTGAAGTAAACCAGCCAGCTTTCTGGCTTTGCCCCAATACTGTGATGGAACATAATAAAACTGGAGATACAGTTTTAACACTGCAAACAGGAAAAAGCATCAAGTTTCTACTTCTGGCTGGAAAGCAAAACCAATCTCAGCTGACAAGACTGGGCAAACTAAGTTTTCCTGAGTCCATTCTCCTTCGAGCCCTGACCTAACCTGGCCTTACCTCATTAAGGTTTGGTTAAAGCAGTGGCAAGGAGGCGGCAAGAGTGGATGGGGGTGTGGGGAGGGGATGAACACTCTGCAGCCAATTCATCTGTTGGTAGGGGCCCAGCTTCTTGGGAGTGCTTATTCAGCTCAAGAGTGGAGGCTGTACACAGCGAGCCCTGGAGATGGCAGCTTGTCTCCAGCTGGGGAGGGTTCAGGCCCCTGAATTGAAGACCACTTTGGTAGGAGAAATGTAGGGACTGGTCACTCATTTCTTTTGGTAGCAGAAATAAGTTGAGTCACCCACAACTCACGGATTCTGTAGCAGCTGCTCCACCCACAATAAAGCAAACGCCAACAGGCTAGACCCCAGATTGCAGGGACTGCCACCTACAAGGTGGGACCACAGGCTGCCTCACGGGGATTGTCTGCCACTAAATAGCTGGAGTCACAGATTGAGATAAATGCCACCTTCAAGGTTGCAGTGAAAAGCATAGTCCTATGTGATGAATTCATATGTGTTATTTTTTAAAAAGCTATTTTATTACTGCATGTTCCCGTCCCGTCTTGTGAATGTGAGTCCCTGCCACCACGTGAGCTGCAGTTGTTGCAGCGGCTGGTGCAGGAGTGCGGCTGGCGCGTGTGTGATAGCATCTCGTAGGTGTTGCTGCACAAGAGTTAACCAGAGTCAATGCCAAACACATAGTATGAGAAGTGTACTTTTTAAGAAATTAATTTATTTGAGTTCAAATATTTTTGAAATATGAAAATTGGTTGTATTTTTTAAAGCTATAATTCTTGTAGACATTCTGTGGTTAAAAATTTGATTGTGCTTATTAAAAATGGTCATCTATGTTTTGCACTTCAGCTACGTGAAAATAAAGTTTCTTTGGGAAGGTGACATTTGGCTTCCTGATTACGGGAAGGAGTTGGTTATCTCAGGTGGAGCAGGAAAGCCTGGTTGATTCTCACACCAGGATGGGACTGCGACTTCCCAGGATGGAGGGAGGAGACCATTGCTACACCACACTTTGAGTTACTGACAGCAAAACCCTCCCACCATACTGGGTGCATCTTGTGTGCACTTGGCTAACATACACTTCTGATTTACAGCAGAAGGTTCGGAGGCGAATTCAGTTCTCCTTTGGCATGCCACTGGATAACACGATAGTGAGAGGGGCAGTGTGTACAAGCTGTGGACATGGGCATTTCCTCTCTGTTGCAGCAAGGTGGAGGAAAGCCAGGGAGAGTAAAACGCTAGAATCTTCCTAATAGCTTTGCCCTACACCATGGTCTAAATGATTATGGCCAAGTGGCTACATAGTATTTTATTTTTCTAGAATTACATCCAGCTGTGAGAAAGCCAGGTTCAAATTTAAATCCTTTAATTAATAACCTGTCCCAGAATTACTAACAGTGAGACTTAAACAAATTTTGATTTGTGAAGAAAACATGAAAAAAGTCCAAAAGAAACCCCGTCAGAGGGCCCAAGTGTCGACGGTTCCCCTGTGGAGCAGCTCATCCATTTCCCAAGTGGGGTCCTCCGGCAGGCGGCTTCCTCTGTGGCGCCAGGTGGGTCCAGAGTGGACCGGCTCCTTTAGAAGTCGGGCAGGCCAGGCAGAGGGAAGAGAGAGGCGAAGCTCTCAACCTCCTCCCGGAGAGCCTGCACAGCCCCCTGGTACTTATCCCCTGTCAGTCTCTCCTTGAACTCCTTCAGGGTGGCTCTGACACCAACGTCGCTCTGAATCTGCAGGGTCAGCTCTATCCCTGTGCGACAACACACAAGTGAGTCACCCCACACTACACACCAAGTGAGGCGCAATGGCTGGGGGCCGAGGCACAACTGCCAGAATGTCCCCCAGCTGGGGAGCGCGGCAGGGCACAAGGTCTCCATGCTTACCTCAGTTACTCTCGGATGCAGCCACCCTTAGATGTCCTGGGTAGCCCAAATTTATAAACCTCTCAGACAAGGTGATTTACGTAAGTGTTTTTTGCTGTCTCCCACACCAACACTCAGCCTTGGTGCAGAATTGTCTTTCAGTGGCAGGATCTCAGCTACTCATCACAATCAGAAACTAAATACACACAATAAGATGTGGCAACTTCCAAAAGCTTATCCTTACCTCTGTGAATAAACTGGGCTACTTTTTGGAAGTCTTTTTCCAAAAGTCCGCGAGACGTCAGTGCTGGGGTCCCCAGCCGCAGTCCACTGGGCCGCAGAGCACTTCTGTCACCTACAAGATAAATGGGGCTCTGTCCCTAAGCCACATTGTCACCACTGTGACAATGGTGCATTTAAAAAGGGACGTGGGCAAAAGAGAACTGGACTGAGGATACCGGCTGTCTGCAGCAAGGAGAGTACAACTGATTCAGAAACTAAAATAGAACGCAAGGCACAAGGAGGCACAACCACGTTTTGGCCATTCTTACTTAATTACTAGTACACAAAGTGGTCTGATGTGCCCCTTGCTCCTAAAAATGAGGTTAACATCTGTCTGGGTCTGAGATGCGTCATCAATATTTTGTTAACAACCCAGAGAAAAATGCAGCCTCTGGATTCCAGAGGCCCTGACCTCCCTCATCTAATGAATGTACCACCTCCAGCGGCTCCACATCAGTCTTTTTGATCCCTGGCAGGGTCAGGGCCAAGTACAAAGGCGCAGCCAAGAGACAGCCAAGGTATGGTCCCCGCCCCTGCTCCAGTTTTTTTTTTTCCTGAGACAGTCTCACTCTGTCGCCCAAGGTGGAGTGCAATGGTGTGATCTCAGCTCACTGCAGCCTCTGCCTCCCAGGTTCAAGCGATTCTTCTGCCTCAGCCTCCCGAGTAGCTAGGACTACAGGCGTGTGCTACCACGCCTGGCTAATTTTTTGCATTTTTAGTAGAGACGGGGTTTCACCATTAGCCGTCTCAATCTCCTGACCTCGTGATTCACCCACCCCGGCCTCCCAAAGTACTGGAATTACAGGCGTGAACCACCGTGCCCAGCCCAGTTTTTTGTTTGTTTGTTAGAGTCTCATTCTGTTGCCCAGGCTGGAGTGTAGTGGTACAATCTCCATTCACTGCAACCTCTGCCTCCCAGGTTCAAGTGTGTCTCCTGCCTCAGCCTCCCGAGTAGCTGGGATTAGAGGTATGCACCACCATGCCCAGCTAATTGTTCTATTTTTAGTAGAGACAGGGTTTCACCATTTTGGCCAGGCTGGTCTTGAATTCCTGACCTCAAGTGATCCACCTGTCTCGGCCTCCCAAAGTGCTGGGATTACAGGCGTGAGCCACCGTGCCCCATCCCCACTCCAGTTTTTATCTGAGGTCTGTCTCCAGAGCCAGTATCTTCATCAGCTACAACTTTGGCCAGAAGAAATGCAGATGGGAGAGGAGTGAAGGAGAAGGCCAAGGATGATTCTCACCTGGGCAGGTGTTCTTGTTGCAGGCAATAGAACAGGCTTCTAGCACCTTCTCAGCCCTTCCACCGTCTGTGCCTTTGGAACGGAGATCCACGAGGATCAAATGGTTGTCAGAACCACCTGGAAACAAATTTGGACACATAGAAATGCAGGCTAATTCTATGCCGTGAAGGAATCTGTGACATGAAGGCAAGGGTGAAGGCGGCCAAAGCAGATGAGGTCAGGAAGGTGAGCACCCCCACCACATGGCCTGGGACTCTAATGCCCACGAGAGATGTGCGTGCCTAAGAACGTGAAAGGAAGGCTAGAGCACTTTTGAAAGGGGTAACTGATCATACAGCAGAGGGCCTGACATTCCCATTGGGAAGGGACAGCTTCCTCAGGCTGCTCCTGTCTTGTTTCTCTGACACGTTGCTTGGGCATTTCTCTAACATTGATGGTAAAGGCTCCCCCGAAGGCAGCATGCGTATTGGGCAGTGGTTCAAGTTACTTTGGGGGGTAAGGGGCATGCTCACGGAGCACATTAGGTGCCAGACACTGTAGCCTGTGGTAGGTTTTTCCCGGATCCCGTGAGGCTGATGGTATTATCAAAGTGGTAAGGTGACAACAGCAAGGCTAACAGAGTTTTCTGCACCTGGTCCGAGGTCACACAGGAGGATCCTTCCACTCTGAACCTTCATTAAGCCGGGGTATTGCCTTGGGTGCTGACGGCACTAGGGCCTCTGCTTCTGGGCTGTGTTGCAGGGATCCCTTTGAAGATGCGGGCGAGCTAGGGCTCCAGCTTGGCTTTGCAGCCCCCCAGCTGTGCCCACCCACTTGCTGTGTGGCTTTAGGCAGGCAGCTCAACATTGTGAAACCTCAGATGCCCATTTGTAACAAAAACACCAATAATTCACAGGGCTGTCACGAGGTTTAAGATACCGGACACAGTGCTTCTCACAGTGCCAGGCACCAAAGCGGGCATTCACAAGCATTATCTATTTCAGCCGTGTGCATCAGGCCCTCAGAGGGTAGAGTGACAATGACAAAGTCACCAGGGAGAGGGCAGGCCCATGCCATGAGATGCCCATGGTGACAGGGACTATGGCCTAAACCCTCACAACTCCAAGGGTGGCTCCCAGACCAGCATCACCCAAGACCGGGTCAGAATCTGCATCGTACCAGCAGCCCCAGGGGTGGTGTGCACATCCAAGTTTGAGAAACAGGGACCTAAAGCAGTGGTCCCCAACCTTTTTGGCACCAGGAACTGTGGAAGACAGTTTTTTCATGGATGGCTTTGAGGGATGGTTTGGGGATGAAATTTTCACCTCAGATCATCGGGCATTAGATTCTCAGAAGGATGCAGGTATAATCAGAAGGAAAAAAAAGATAGTTTCTCTAAAGAGGCCCAACCTAGATCCCTCACATGTGCAGTTCACAACAGGGTTCAGCTCCTGTGAGAATATAATGCTGCCATTGATCTGACAGGAGGCAGAGCTCAGGTGGCAATGCTCTCGGCCCCGCTCACTTCCTACTATGCAGCCAGGTTCCTAACAGGCCACAAACTAATACTAGTCCGTGGCCTGGAGGTTGCGGACTCCTGAGCTAAAGCACCCTGAAGGTCACAGTCCACATGAGGACTTCTTGGGCTTTGTTATTTGAAGACATGGAGGATGAAGGGAGAACAGAAAGTAAGTGAAGTAGAACATAAAAGAGGGTGTGGCTGGTACTGCTGAGGAGACACCACTAGCCCAGCCTTTCCAGGCGCTGCCGCACACGCAGGATTGGGTGGGAGCCCCACTCCTTAGACCAGGGGTCCTGTGATCCCTGTAAAGGGCAAAGGGCATGGTGCAGAGAGTGGGCACTCAGGTCTACACACAGCAGGACCCACATTCCTGGACCACACCACTGCTAGCACAACCGGCAGTCTCGTGGGACTCGGTATCAAGTCGCCCTTCCTCAGGAGGATCGAGTATGCTGCCCGCCAAAAAGAATGCGCTCTCCCCATGGAAACCTGCAGTGGCTGTGAGGTGGATGGCACCCCACAGTGGGGCCCTGACCTGGGAAGTCCATCTCATTCACAGCCCGCAGCTCCAGAATGTACAGATCCAAACATGGCTATAGCAAGCCAACTCCCCAGGAACATGCAGCAAACTGGGAGGGGACAGCCCGTGCACCCCCAGCTCAGCGGGGTGAGAGAAGACACTCCCGTGGCACAGTGCCAGGCATCACCACAGAGTCCTGGCTCTGCCACCTACCGGGTGTGTGACCACTACAGTCCAACCTCTCGTGAGCCTCAGGTCATCCTCCTGCAAAGCTGTTCTGAGGACATGCAGTCCTTATGCTGGTGACCAATGACAGCCACTATTCCCAACATCTGTGGCTCACCCAAGGGGGCAGCTGGCTGGTCTGAGGCAGGGGGAGGATTTCCAGCTGGAGGTGAGGCTGACCTCCTCCCAAGGTGGGCCCCAGTCATTGCAGCTGCAGCAGCAGAGCCTGGGCCACATGCCGGTTGCAGAAACTGAGGAGCAAGCCCTAATGCAACCACAAGAACAGGCCTGCTGAACACCACCTGTGTCTGTACCTGTGACTATTTTGTAGCCCAGGTCCATCAGTGCCTCAGACAGAGCCCTGCAGTTGGCCACCACCTGGTGCTGATAAACTTTAAATTCCAGAGTCATAGCTTGCTTCAGGGCCACAGCAACCCCTGGACAGGAAGAGACAATAGGTCAGGAGACTAGGATAAAATCATACACAGATGATGAGTCAAACAACATTCCTGTTTTTACTCAAGCTTCCTTGCTTTTCAATGTCACCCCTTGCTTTTGGGTTGGATTACATTTTCCTCCAAAATGATATATTTAAAAATTTATTATTATTATTTATTTATTTTTTGAGATGGAGTTTCACTTCTGTCGCCCAGGCTGGAGTGCAGTGGCATGATCTTGGCTCACTGCAACCTCTGCCTCCCAGGTTCAAGTGATTCTTCTGCCTCAGCCTCCCTAATAGCTGGGAATACAAGCACACGCCACCACGCCCAGCTAATTTTTGTTGGTATTTTTAGTAGAGATAGGGTTTCACTATATTGGCCAGGCTGGTCTTGAACTCCTGACCTCAAGTGATCCACCTGCCTTGGCCTCCCCAAGTGCTGGGATTACAGGCATGAACACCGTGCCCAGCCAAAAAATTTTTTATTTTTATATTTTTTGAACAGGGTCTCACTCCCATTGCGTAGGCTGGAGTGCAGTGGCATGATCACAGTTCACTGCAGCCTTGACTTCCTGAGCTCAGATGATCCTCCCATCTCAGTCTCCTGAGTAGGTGCGACTACAGGTACGTCCTACCACACCTGGCTAATTTTTTTTTTTTTTTTTGAGAGATGGGAGTCTTGCTCCGTCACCCAGGCTGGAGTGCAGTGGCGCAATCTCGGCTCACTGCAACCTCCGCCTCCCAGGTTCAAGCGATTCTCCTGCCTCAGCTTCCTAAGTAGCTGGGACTACAGGCATGTGCCACCATGTCCAGCTAAGTTTTGTATTTTTCAGTAGACAGGGTTTCACTATATGTTGGCCAGGCTGGTCTGGAACTCTTTTTTTTTTTTTTTTTTGAGGCAGAATGTTGCTCCATTGCCCAGGCTGGAGTGCAGTGGCGTGATCTCAGCTCACTGCAAGCTCCGCCTCCTGGGTTCATGCCATTCTCCTGCCTCAGCCTCCCGAGTAGCTGGGACTACAGGCACCCGCCACTGTGCCCGGCTAATTTTTTGTATTTTTAGAAGAGATGGGGTTTCACCGTGGTCTCAATCTCCTGACCTCGTGATCTGCCGGCCTCGGCCTCCCAAAGTGCTGGGATTACAGACATGAGCCACTGCGCCCGGCCTGGTCTGGAACTCTTGACCTCAAGTGATCCACCCACCTCGGCCTCTCAAAGTGCTGGGACTATAGGCGTGAGCCACTGCACCCGGCCATGCCTGGCTAATTTTTTATATTTTTAGTAGAGATGCGGTTTCTCCATGTTGGCCAGGCTGGTCTCAAACTCCTGGGCTCAAGTGACCCGCCCGCCTCAGCCTCCCAAAGTGCTGGGATTATAGGCATGAGCCACTGCGCCCAGCTGATATGCTTCTCTGAGGAACTGCTGTTGAGGTAAGCGTGGAAGTTTCCCTAAGCGTGGAAGTTCCCCTAAGCGTGGAAGTTCTGTGCTAACATTACCATACCAAAGCTGTAAAGCAAGATGGATTTTACATCCTTTTTAATCTTGATGTGTGAAAATGATTACTTAGCAGCCCTAAGAGCTGATGCTCTGACGCCAGATTATGCAGCTCTCTCAGGTCAGAGCGCAGGTAGGAGGTGCAGCCTTCGCCCTACCCTGCACCACCGTTTAGACTCATCTGGTACCTTGCATTCAGTCCTGAGGGCTGCTTCAAGGGACACAGAGAATGGAGGGTAAGGAGAAGCCACAGGCCTGCGTCCCGCACAGAGCCGCCTATCGATACTTGTGAAAACAACTGGAAAGGGCGTCCAGAGCAGCTGGGTATGGGGTGATCCCTGCATCCCAGAGTTGAAGCAGCTGTGGGTGCCAAGTGTGTAGGTGTGATGGGAGAACATGAGAACATGCCTGGGACCCCAGCTCCTTCCACCCCTTATGCCCAATATCTCCTGATCGCTGCTGTCCCCAGGTTCCTCTCTAGAAGTGCTCGTGCGTCTCCTGACCGAGAAGCTACACCTTCATCCTGAGCCCCTTAGCGGGAATGAGTTCTACCAATGTCCTTGTTCCACGAAGGCAGTGGGATAACTCTTGAGTCATCACAAATGTCCTAAGCTACTTGTACAAAGAGAAAAAGAACAAGTCAATGAGAACCTGCTGGGCAGTCATGGAATCTGACTCAGGAGTCACTGATATGGCACTGGTGCAGGGTGGGAGGCTCAGACACAGGGGCCTCCACCACCACAGGCCAGGTCCATCAAGGGCAAGGGGGCTCATCCTGCAGGGTTTGGACCCCAATCTCTCTCACCTGTGCTTTGCCCTCTCCTAACTGTCAGATTCCTTCCCTAAGAGGGCTCTATGTACTTTACAAAACCCAGCCTGACCCACAGGTTTGCCTCTGGGTGGCCGTATACATGGAGTGGACGCCATTCCCTACTGTCCCTACCTTAGGCCAGTCTCAAACCATGCTCTACTCTGTGTTAGCATCTCCCGGACAGAGACAGCCCTCCAGCTTTTTCCCCAGCGTGGAAGTCCTGGCACACGATTTTGGAGGACAGGTGAGATGGGAATTAGGGGCCACAGGATGAGCAGAAGCAGATGATGTTTTACCAGCAATGGCGTGGTTGTGGGGACCTCCCTGCAGGCCAGGGAACACAGCAGAATTGATAAGAGACTCCAGGTTGTACAGAATCTCTTTGCCAGTCTTGGGATCCACACTTTTCACTCCTAGAGGAAGAAAAACATCACAATGGGATCATATGGGGTGTCCCCTCTTTTTCGTTTTAGGCTCAAACCCAGACTGGCCAGGGAAGTATCAAGCACAAGCCTGGCCTTTATCCTGGCATGGAGAACTGGTTTGTAACACAGCGGAGCAGACGGGGGCCCTTGCCTCCTGAGGGCAGACCAGTATCCTTATTCTTTGGAAACGAGGACATCATGGATGACTCTGGCTAGAATGCTGGTTTCAGCACCTCAGCTGTCCACCTGTCTCCTCTGATGGCATCTCTTTTTAACACGACTATAACAAGGCCTTAAAAATGAAAGGACAGGCTAGACGCGGTGACTCACACCTGTAATCCCCGCACTTTGGGAGGCCAAGGCAGGTGGATCACGAGGTCAGGAGTCAGTGAATTTTGAGACAAGCCCTGGGCCACCATGGCAAAACCCATTCTCCTAAAAACACAAAAAATTAGTCAGGGCGTGGTGGGTGTGCACTGTAGTCCCACAGGCTACTCCAGGAGGCTGAGGGCAGCAAGAATCACTTGAAAGCCGGGAGGCAAAGGTGCAGTGAGCTGAGAGCACGCCACTGCACTCCAGCCTGGGTGGACCACAGTGCCACTCTGGTCCTCAAAAAAAAAAAAAAAGAAAGAAAAGAAGAAAGACAGAATTTCCCTCCACTAACAGTTGTAACCGAAGAATTCAAGAATTGCCCTGGACATCTTTCCTATAAGATATGGTCATGATGGCCGGGCCGTGGGTGGCGCTCATTGCCTGTAATCCCAGCACTTTGGGATGCTGAGCAGGTGGATCAACTGTCAGGGCGTTCAGACCAGCCGGTCAACATAGTGGAAACAACAG